GTAATGGGAACAGAGGTTGTTTCTGACATAAAATCAGGGGCTATCTCTTTGATCACATCTCCCTGAGAGGGGTGCAGCCTTACCAGAACACAGAAGAAGACAATGCAGACAGTCCTGATGAGAACTGATAGGCTAGTGTCAGATGGAAGGGTAGGAGGACCTCTCCTATCAGTGGACTGGGAAAGGGGCAGGGGAGGAAAAGAAGAAGGGATGGTGAAGTTGGGAGAGGATGAGGGAGGGGGCTACAGCTGGGATACAAAGTGAATAAATTGTAATAAAAAACAAAAAATAGAAATGAAAGAAAAAGTAAAGAAGTTTTAGCTTAGAAAAAAAGCTAATAAAGACTCTTATTAGCTTTGAAAAAAAAGTATTTCTGGCTTTGCATGATTATGCTTATTCCTGTGGGTGAACCTAATAATTTAAATTTTACTATCAATTCAGATAAGTTAGTAGTATGTGGTATTTATATTTAAATTTTTTGAGAAATACCCTATTAATCAGATAAGATGATATCCCCCCAAAATCATAAATATGTCTCATTAATTACTGGTGAGAAATGAAAGCAACATTATGTATGATATAGGGAGAAATATAATCATGTTTATATCTGTAAAAATAATTTCAGAACACAAGAGCAGAATAGTTGAAAATACATTCTAAAATACCAGAGATAGAAAAATGCTAAATAATCATGAATGGCATTTAGTTACGTTTAAAATTAAGATTAAGATTATTGGAAAAAAAAGCAATGTAGCATGAATTGTTTTTTCAAAGGGAATCTGTTTTATTACTGGCAAGAGTTATTTTAATATCTGAGTTCTCTAAATAGCACACATTCATCAAAACCAAGTAAAAGTTTAATTAAATTCATCATGGGCAGAACTTGAATGCTAATCCTCATTATCTTGGCTTCCCCTCTGTTAAACTCTGACATCAGCAGAATTACCACATATCAACTTATCTAAAACACAGCCTATCAAAGAGAAAATTTGCTTAAATTGTAAAAGGAGTTTTGAATAATTTCTACTGCCTTATGCCTGAATGGTATGTAATAAAGGTACCATTATAGTGAAGCCATTTTGTCGGCATGAAGGTAATTTCAGATCACATCTAGGACTACTTTACATAGTGCCACAATATCATTCCACCAACATACAGGAGAAAGAGAAACTAAACAGAAGGGCTTCCTATTCTTTGTCACTGTGGTTTCTATCTTAAATTGTGGTTTTGTTGTAGTCCATTTTAGTGGAATTCATATTCCATTAAAGGCCATCTGAAATTTTATAGTCAAAGTTTCTCTTTTCTACCACGAGAATAAGGCTTATTACCTTCTATCACATTGCTTGAATCTCATCACCCTCATACTTACTCATCCATTATTTTTATTTCTTTCTAGTCATAAAACCTGCACACTTCACAATGAGCTCAACTCTAATGTCTTCTCTTAACTACTAAGGTCACACTTTCATCCCATAAAAGCATATAGTTTCTCTACAAGAAACTAAGTTTCAGGATTGAAAGACTCTTAGAGATATCATATAAAAGACAAATGGGCTGAGAAAGAAATTAGGGAAACAACACCATTCAAAACAGCCACAAATAACATAAGAACTTTGGTGTGACTCAAATCAAGCAAGAGAAGGCCTGTATGAAAACACTTCAAGTCTCTGAAGAAAGAAATTGAGGAAGAAATCAGAAGATGGAAAGTTTTCTCACGCTCACGGAACCATAGGATTAACATAGTAAAAATGGCCATCCTAAGAAAAGAAATCTACAGATTCAATGCAATTCCCATCAAAATACTAACACATTTCTTTTATAGACTTTGACAGAACAATTCTCAATTTGATATGAAAAAAATAAAACAAAATAAAACAAATAAAAAACCTAGAATAGCTAAAACAACACTGTACAATAAAAGATCTTCTGGAGGCATCTCCATCTCTGATCTCTATTCTACTTTGTTTTCCAATAAAAGTTGCCATTTAAAAATAAATTTCACAGAATGAGTTTGGTGTTGTTCTTTCTCTTTCTATTTTGTGGAATCGTTTGAAGAGAATTGGACTAAGCTCTTCTTTGAAGGTCTGGTAGAATTCTGAGCTGAAACCATCTGGTCCTAGGCTTTTTCCAAAACCACCCTGTATAACAACGGATTGTCTGGAGTTATTTCCATCCCTGATCTTAGATGTACTACAGAGCAATAGTAAAAAAAAAAAAAAAAAAAAAAAAAAAAAAAAAAAAAAAAAAAAAAAACAGCACGGTACTGGCTAGAAACAGAATGGTAGATAAATGGAATTGAGTTGAAGACCCAGAAGTAAACCCACACACCTATGGACACCTGATTTTTGACAAAGAAGCCAAAACCATACAATGGAAAAAAGACAGCATCTTCAACAAATGGTGCTGGTCTAACTGGATGTCTACATGCAGAAAAATGAAAATAGATCCATATTTATCACCCTGCACAAAACTAAAGTCCAAGTGGATCAAAGACCTCAACATAAAACCAGAAACACTAAATTGGTTAGAAGAAAAAGTGGGAAAGAGCCTAGAACTCATTGGCACAAGAGACAACTTCCTGAACAAAACACCAGTAGCACAAGCTCTATGGTCAACAATCAATAAATGGGACCTCATAATACTGAAAAGCTTCTATAAAGCAAAGGACACTGTCAACAGAACAAAACGACAGCCTACAGACCAGGAAAAGATCTTTACCAGCCCTACATCTAACAGAGGGATAATATCCAGAATAAATAACTCAAGAAGTTAAACACCAACAAACCAAGTAATCCAATTAAAAAGCGGGGTACAGACCTAAACAGAGAATTCTCAATAGAGGATTATCTAATGGCAGAGAGACACTTAAAGAAATGCTCAACATCCTGTCTTTAGTCATCAGGGAAATGCAAATCAAAAAGACCCTGACATCTCTCATTACACCCATCAGAATAGCTAAAATGAAAAACTCAAGTGACAATACATGCTGGAGAGGATGTGGAGAAAGGGGAACTCTCCTCCATTGCTGGTGGGAATATAAACATGTACAACCACTTTGGAAATCAATCTGGGGCTTCCTCAGAAAATTAAGAATACCATGATACCACTCTTGGGCATACATCCGAAAGATGCTCAACCATACAGCAAGGACATTTGCTCAACCATGTTCATAGCAGCTTTATTCATAATAGCCAGAAGCTGGAAACAACCCAAATGTCCCTCAAATGAGGAATAGGTACAGAAATCGTGGCTTATTTACACAATTTTAAAAAGGAAAGTTTTATAAAAAGCTTAACCATCTCAGTTTGGCTCTGACATTATTATTAAGAAGGAATGTTACATCAAAGAATAATAAAATACAATTCTCAAAATTGTTCTATATTCAATATTTTTATAAATTTGCTCTTATATGTGTATCTATTATGCTTTTACTAGCATAGTTACATGAATAAAGGCTGTGGGGTGAAATACCTGAAAAGTAGGATGAATTCAGCATTCCTGTGATAATAGTAATTGTTTTTCAAACCATTGTTTAGAATGTATTAAGAATGTAAGATGATATCAACTTTGTTGTTCATTAACATGCTAATGTTGAATATTGGAATGTACATTTGCATCATTATGATCACTTATACAACCTGTGTTTTTTTTAACCTTCATAGTTTTCTACCCAGTGAACTCAGTACAGATGAAGGTTTTCCTAGCTACACACAGAAAGGGTGTGGATTTGGATAGAAGTGGTGAAGTTCAAGGAGGAGCTGTATGTGGGGGAACTAAATACTGTATAGTCTATGAAAAAAAAATCTGCTTTCAATAAAAGGAAAATACAAAAAAAGAGAATTACTAGCATTAAATCCTCTATATGTTTTGTATTTTTCCCTGAATTTTAAACTAAATGTTAAATAAAACAATAGTAAAGTTATTGTGCCAATAGTTTGGTATCTTTGAGGAAATCCTTTTGAAAACCTTTCACTGTACATTTTAAGAATGCTGCTTCATATTCTATTTGAGTTGTGGGCTTTGGAATAAGAACCTGTACTGTTTCTGGTTGATATAATGATGTAAGTAGGATAAGACCCCAGTCATTCTTTTATGCAGTCTTCACAGTATAAATATCTTAAAATACAATTTCAGTTTAGAGAGAAGCTCACAGAAAGCTTAAAGGTATGTACATTTAATATAAAGAGAGTTAGAGAATCAAAGCAGACATTAAACTGTCATTTTATATTGTCTTTTAATGTTATTTTTCATGTACTTGCAAGACTATTAGCATGCATATGGATGGTTAAAAAAACCTTAGAAACAATTTATTACATTTTCAAGAGTGTCTTAGAAATCCATTACTTGTACCTTTCATATAATACTTGCTTACCTCTTTCTTGCTTTTCAAATCGTATAACCTGTCTTTTCCCAACACTCCATAAATTATTCAGCTAGTATGTATTAGAATCAATGTGTCATTTTGACATAGAAGAAAATTCTAAGACATGTGCACCTGTAACTTATCTAGGATCAACATACTATTAGATGAACACAAATAACTACATATCACCCCATATATGCTTTTGTCTTTATATCATTCTATTTGGCACAAAACACCTGTTTGCTCCTGATATGAAGTGAATCAGTGGGGAACTGTTTTAAAAATAAACCTATTGCATTCAAGTTTCTGACTACTTTTGTCGTTAAAGGCAAAATGGTTTGCCACCTAAAAAACATTTTTCTATCATCATTAATGTTTAAACTGTTCCTTCCTATGCTCTGGTTAGATTATGTGAATCATTAGAACGGCAACCAACCAACCAATCAACCAAGAACAGGCACTTGAAAATGAAAAAAAAAAAAGTTAAGAGACAAATTTGGTTGATTGTCCAACACATACAGAACTGCAGTCCACCAACAGCTATCCTGTAGATTACGACAAATGAAGCAGAAGAGAAGAGAGATTTAAGATTTGTTTTTCTTTTTTCTGATAGTCTGAAATATCTGACTTGTATTACCTGAGAATGGTTGCTCCAAACCAAATTTTGGTAGGAGGAGGCGGTTTTGAGGGGGGAGAGTACTTCCCGTGAGCCGAGGGGGTCCAAGGCCTGCACCACCTTGTTCATAGGCCCACTGTAGGTCCTCACTCGCTCATACACTACATTTTTTTCTGGAGGCTGCTGATGGTAACAGTGGTAATGCTGAGGCTGGCACTGCAGGACCTCTGTGGGCTGCTGGGTCCCACAGCTGCTACTGCTGGTCTCACTCCAATAGCTTGAGCTCATCATCTTCTCAGTGGAAAGGGTTTTCCCAGGTGTTCTCCCTAAGGAATAGACATGAAAATATGATAAGAGGGCAGGTAGGCAAGCAGGGACACGCAAAGAAGGCCTTTATCAACCACCTTTTATCCCTGGTGGTGCTAGTAAAAGAGGAGTTACCTGAGCAGCAGCAGGAGCAGGTCTGGCAGCTGCAGAGTACACAGTGAAGTATTTGAGCTCAAATGAAAAGTGGAGCCACCCTGGGAGATTGCTCCAGGAAATGGTACTGACACGCCCATGAAGGGAGTATTCACCGGGCAGGTTTGCATGCCAAGAGAGGCCCTGCCTTGCCACAGAGAGAGCAACAAGACTTCCCAGTAGGTAATGGAGTCTAGAAAAAGCTGAAACAGAAGTTCAGGGCAGGAGCAAGCTCCTCGGATTTGAAATTTGAAGACAGATACTAATCTCAAAACCCTGTCAGAGAAAACAAAGCGACTTTCCCATGGCTTGTAAATTTAGCAAAGGTTGTTTCAAGCCTATGTACTCATTCTATAATCTTAGACCAAATTAAAGGGTATTGGCCTAGGCACAAACTAATTTTCAGAGATAAATTCGCATGCTTCACCAAACCCGTGATAATTCAGATAAAGCAGATTGCAGTGGGGACTCCAAGAAATTTTCTCTAATATGAGAACCTGTTTATCTGGCTCCAGTGCATACTATGGTGTTTTGAACACTGACAGAGATGTAACCAAATGGCTGAGGCTGAATTTCTGATTAGAATGCTGTGGGAATGGTTGAGGAAAATGGTACCATTCCACAATGCTTTGCGTTTTGTAATTTGCTTTTAGTAATTTGCAGTTTTACAAATGCATTTGTCCTGACTTTTTGTGCCTTGGGAAACATGGAGTTCCACTGTTTGTTTGTTTGTTTTCCAGTTGTTAAAGGAACTGTAAGCCTTCATGGTGCCTTTTGAGAAAAAAAAGAAATGAGATTTAAATGTGTTCAGCACTTATTTACAATTATTTGCAAATCCAATCATAATAGCATTTACCTACCAGGTAATACTTTGAAGGTTACTCCAGCACAACTCAACTGCAAAATATTACCTGAGTAGTATTTAAAAAAAAAAGGTTGTCTTTCTTAAGTGTATATGGACCTCACTATTTCAGAGAAAGAGAAGATAATATCTTTTATCTGGGTTGCCATTTTGTGTGTGTGTGTGTGTGATAAGTAAGCAAAAGGCAATAAATGACTAGTCACTTACTGTGTGCCAGATCATATTCAAGAAAGTTTACATGAAAGTTACATTCTCACAACTTTGTAAGAATTTACTGGTGAGAAACTGAGACACACATATAAAGAAGTTGAAAGTTTTTCCAACAGTTAAATAAGTATGTAATATGGATCTGGCAAATTGAATACAGGGAGATTCACATCAGAGTCTAAGCTTTTATGAACCACTATAATGTGCTAAATCAATTTTTACTTGTTCAGCATACAGCCATCTAAGAAATCTCTTAGGTGACAGGAAAAAAAAAGACACATTTGAAATGAAAAGTTACAACTGACTTTAAAAGTAATCTGTATGGATATAACCTAGAACCTCTGCTCAGATGTAGCCCGTGGTAGCTCAGTAACCAATTGGTTTCCCATAGTAAGGGGAAACAGGGACTATTTCTGACAGGAACTCAATGGCAGGTTCTTTGACCTCCCCACCCCCCAAGGGAAGAGCAGTCCTGCTAGGCCTCAGAGGAGGACTCTGCAGCCAGTCCTGAAGATACCTGATAAAACAAGGTCAGATGAAAGGGGAGAAGGTCCTCCCCAATCAGTGGACTTGGAAAGGGGCAGGGAGGAGATGAGGGAGGGAGGGAGGGGTTGGGAGGGAATGAGGGAGCAGGATACAGCTGAGATACAGAGTTAATAAAATGTAACTAATAATAAAAATTTAAAAAAGTAATAATTGTTATGGATGGAAGGTATATACAAAACACCTGAAAATTAACCTTTAAAATGCTTTAAAATAACTTGCTCTTATTACACATTTCTTACTATATGAAGAGCTTTCATACACATGTTCAATTAGAAGTTGTTTCACAAAATCACTGTAAATTTGCTAAGCATGGTGGTACATGACCATAATGCCAGTACTTGTAAGGCTGAGACAGAAAGATTGAAATGAGTTCGGAGTTAGTCTGAGTTTAACAACGAATTTCAGTCCAGTATGGGCTACAGACTAAAATCTTTTCTCAAAAAGCCCAAAATAATAAAAGAATTAATGACAAATTAATTAGAAACACATGAACTACCAGGTACCCAGGTATAATATTAGATCAGTAACTCATTACTAACACTGGCTATTTCATTTTGCGTAAGCTTTGTGTGAATGGGGACTGGATATAAATGGTGTTATCTAGTTCACAATGACTGAAATCTAAATTTAACATACACACACACTGCTGTTAGTATCTGATGCCAGTCAATAAGTAACCTTATATGTAAAGAAGAAATTGAAGTGAAGAATGAAAAGCATTGTCCCCATAAAGTGCTGACTGTATCTGCCCTCTTCATTTCTTAGAAATAGAGGCTGTAGACTTTGATGTAGTTGGGCTACAATTAATGTGCAAAATTGATATGCTCTCTCAGTCTTTATGTGTCTTACATCAGTGTTTCCAATCCCTGGGTACAAGGAATACAGCTTAAAGTTCAAGAATAAAGAAATGAGCTTAAGTAAGACCTGGCAGAGAGATCACATCTAACTACAGAGCACATCCTTGTTCAAGTCCAAGAATTTAATCAATAATTCTCTAGAAAGAGTCAGTTCCTTCTGTGGGAACTCCTTTGTGAATTAATAATCTGTATTCCCAATTGTTTTATTGATAAATAAATGTAAATCCACTTATCTATTGTAATAATAGTACCTGCAGTATTTCACACTTCAAAATCCAGTGGATTTGACATGGTGTTTTCCAAGCTTTCTTCTTCTACCTTTGGTATATGGCATAATAAGTGTTCATTACTTATTTTTATCATGAGACATGTTCAGAGAATTCTTGATTATATTTCTAACAGGATTTTGTTTCACTCTGTAATACAGATATTATGTATTTGGTACAAAAAAAACTAATTTAGAAATGTTTGATTTGTCAGAATAGAACAGATATTCCCTTAGAAGATAATTTAATTATAACAGAGCTAAAAATTTTATTCACTGTTCCTAGCCATAAAAACAATTCATTCTTTAAAAGTGCAAATGATGCGGTTGGGGTGATGGCTTAGCAGTTAAAAGCACGTGCTCCTCTTACAGTGGATTCAATTCCCAGTAAACACATGGTGGCTCACAACTATCTGTAACTACAAGTATAGAGTAATTGATGCCCTCTTCAAACCTCTGAGGACACCAGCCATGAACATGGTACACATACCACATGCAGGCAAAAGACTCATACATAATAAGTAAAATATTGCAAATCTAAAAAAAAAGTTAAAAATTCAAGAGAGTACATACAAAAAATAAAGTAAAAAAAATGGAACTCATTAATGATAGACATAAGGATTGAAACATCAGCTAAATACATTAAAGAAAAAATAATTTATATTTGGCTGAGCTGTTTTGATGGTCATTTTTAAAAGTACTGATTAGAGCTACAGAAGATATAGGATAAGCAAACTCAGAGTCTCTTACAGACACAACTCAGAACACTCATGTCACCAACTATTGTGTGTGTGTGTGTGTGTGTGTGTGTGTGTGTGTGTGTGTGTGTGTTGGGCGGAATTCTCCTGCATACAAAGCAAGCAGTTATTCCTTCTATGAACACCATTTGGGAGCCCTCTAGTTTAATTCAATTTTGACATTCAATCCTACAGGATTGTCTTAAAAGACTTAATGCTCTATACTTTAATGTTTCCAACAGCCTGTGATCATGTTGTAGGTACCTAAGGGCTGCCAGTAATTAATCAATTAATTAGCGTGCCAAAAAAGGCAAATTGTCTTAGGAGTTATATGCTAAGAGAACAGGAAGAAGATCAGGTATGTGGTGTGGTGAGTGTGTGTGTGTATGTGGGGGGTGTTAAACACTGATATCTATTTCACAAACTCATTAGGCGCAAATATGAAAATGCTGGCTAGTTTCAATATACTACCCAGGTACAATATTGTAAAATACATTGTTCGTAGATTTCAGTGTAATTTTTGTAAATTAGTCAACTTGAAAATCAAATTGAATGTCCAAGTGAGATACGGTTCTAATTTTTGGAAACATTAACTACCTGAAACTGTTAAGCTAGAACAAAGCACCAATTAATGCATCAAAATTGACATATAGAACTATATTAGGCAATTAAACTGCAAAAGTAATTATAAAGTTGTCACCAAATACATTTCATTAGCATCAGCAGTTTTTATGTGTATTACTAATCCTTACTCCACCTTCTGTTTTATGAGGATGATGCTTAGATCTATCTCAAGCCCAGGCTCATAGCTTGGGGCTAATGATACAAGAACAACAGATAGAGTTAACACAAAGTTCCTTAAGCCTTTTTGCTTCTGCCTTCTCTATGATCAAAAGAAGAATGTTAATGTTATAAAAGGTCAATGAGCATTAGTCTGAAGGAGGTAAATCCCAAGGAAGATGAGACTATTGTATGATTAAATAAAAGGATCTTTGTGCTATTAACTGAACCCAATGCGTTTCAACTGGCAGAACTCCATTCCAGCCTGCTGACAGGACTTAACACTGATCTTGTTTAACTGCTGTTGTGAAATTTTTAACTGAGCAATGTTTCAGGATAAGAGGAAGAAAAATATATTTATTTTAATTTAAATAAAAACGAAAGGCAGCATTTATAAACAGGTCAGTTCAATCTGAAGTGAATTCAGGTTAAAATTATATATCAAGTTTGCCTGGGCTGAAGCCAAGATGAAGGAGTAGGTGAGAGAGCTCTGTCCCTGGCGAATTGTAGATGATTTTGGTGGTGTCTTTACCATGGGTAGCATGGGTACCATGGGTGGCAGTATCTTTCAAGCCTTCAAAGGTTTTCAAAATTCTCCAGTGGGAGTAAACCACAGACTACGAGGGAGTTTGACAACTATTAAAACCAAGGCTTCACAGTTGGGAGGAAGCTTTACAGTTTGGGGACAACTGTTTTCCATGATTGATTGTATTATGGTTCAAATAAGAGGCAACAAAGATTCCTGGAATTTCATCACTAGCAGTGTCTTAACAGGGG